AAGGTTATCAAACAAAATGGGCAATGTATCATGATTGATCTTTGTTCTTTATATGAATAAATGACCTTTAAAAAACATAGACAAAATACATCAGGACTTTACCAAAGACCTAATCTCTATCTATCTATCTATGTATCTATATATTTAATTATAGTTGACATTCAGTATTATTCTACTTCAGCTTCAGTTGTACAGCATATTGATCAGGCATCTACACAGTCTATGAAGTGATCCCTCTTATAAGCCCAGTGCTCATCTGGCACCCTACATAATCTTTACATTACTGATTGTATTCCCCATACTGTATTTCACATTCCATGACTATATTGTATCTACCAATTTGTACTTTCTAATCCCTTCACCTTCTTCCCCATCCCCACCCCCCTCCCATCTAGTAACCATCAGTTTTTTCTCTGTACTTTTGAGTCCATTTGTGTTTTGTTTGCTCGTTTATTCTGTTTATGCCACATATTATAAATGAGATCATATGGTATTTGTCTTTCTCAGTCAGACTTATTTCACTTAGCATAATATTCTCTAGGTCCATCCATGTTGTTGCAATTGGTAAGATTTCATTTTTTATGGCTGAGTAATATTCCATTGTATAAATGTACCACAGTTTTCTTTATCTAATCGTCTATTAACGGGCATTTCCGTTATTTCCATATCTTCACTATTGTGAATAGCACTGCAATTCGTGTTTTGGACTTCTTTGGATAAATACTCAGGAGAGGAATTGCTGGGTCATAAGGGAGTTCTATTTTAAATTTTTTGAGCAACCTCCATACTGTTTTCCATAGTGGCTGCACCAATTTGCAATCCCACCAACAATGCACGAGGGTTCCCTTTTCTCCACATTCTCACCAACACTTGTTGTTTGTTGATTTATTGATGATAGCCATTCTGACAGGAGTGAGGTGGTATATCATTGTGGGTTTTTTTGCATTTCTCATTAAAGACATTGAACATCTTTTCATATGCCTGTTGACTATCTGTATGTCCTCTTTAGAGAAATGTCTCTTCATGTCCTCTGCCAATTTTTAATTGGATTGTTTGTTTTTTGGTGTTGAGTTGTATGAGTTTTTTATAAATTTTGGATATTAAAATTTATCAGATGTATCATTGGCAAATATCTTCTGCCATTCAGTAGGATGTCGTTTGTTTTATTGATGGTTTCCTATATGACTTTGTGAACACTGCCTCCCATTCTGTGGATTGTCTTTGAAGGGCAAACGTTTTTAATTTTGATGAAGTCTAGTTTTTTCTTTTTTTCTTTTGTTGCTTGCACGTTTGATACCATATCTAAAAATGTTTTGCCTAAATCAAGGTCACAAAGATTTATTCCTATATTTTTTTCTAATGGTTTTGTTTTAGCTATTATATTTATGTGCATGATCTGTTTGAGCTAATTTTTGTATATGGTGTGAAGAAAGGAACCACATTTATTCTTTTGCATGCGAATATCTAGTTGTCCCAGTACCAGTTTGTTGACCCATAAGTTCTGATATGTAGTATGTTCATTCTTATTCAATTGTTTTCTTATCTCTATTATGATTATTTCTTTGATACATGAGTTGTCTAATTTTTTTTTCCAACCCATTTTTGATCTTTCCAGTTAAATTTTTGTAATTGATTTCACTTAAATGTGTTGTGCTTATAAATTGTGGTATATATGATATTTATTATTTGAGATTTGAAGAGGATAACGTTATGTTCCAGCTCTAATGTAGTCAATTGTCATTCCTTGAGTGCCTGTAAAGAATGAATATTCACCAGTTGTTGGATATAATGTTGTTATGTCTTTTAGATCAAGCTTGATAAATTAGATGTTTGTATCATTTGTATCCTTAGTGATTTTTTAAAAATCTACCCAATATTAGTTATTGATTGAAATGTGTTAAAAACATTAAAATCATCTATCATCATGGTTGGTTTCTTCGTATTTTTCCTTTTAGTTCTGTTAATTTTTTTTTATGTGTAATTTCCACTTATTGGAAGTTTCAAGCATTCACAGGAGAGAGCATAATATAATCAGTTTCTATCACCCTCCCATCTTTAACCATTATGAGTATATATGGCCAATCTTATTTCATACAGTCTATCTACCCCCTTTTATGCACCATCAGTATTAAAAGCAAATTCCAGACATAACTGTTATTGTTTTGTAGACTCAATGTTTAGATTTACTCATATATTTATCACAGTATTTGCTCACCATTCCCTTTTACAGCCTATCTAGAGAGTTTTCCTTCTTCCAAAAAAATATATATATTACAGTACCCTCTAGAAATCTTAGTAGTAAACTTTCTAAGTTTTTGTTTGTTTGAAAATGTTTCCAATCTTGTGTATTTTCTAGAAAATTAGTGTAGATCTCAAGTTGACAGTTATTTACCCTTAGCATTTTGAAGATATTCTTCCAGTGTCTTTTAGCTGCCACTGTTGCTGTTGAGAAATAAATAGGAAGTCTAATTTCTGTTTCTTTGTAGATAATCTCATTGGCTCCTTTAAAGGCTCTCTCTCTTTTTTTTTTAAATTTTCTGCAGTTTCACCATGATGTGACAAGTGAAAGTATGTCATAAGTAATTGAATGATAGTAATTTTGAGTTATTAGCTGTAAATTTCTTAATCTTCTTCTTCCAAATGGTGATTAGCGGTCTATAAACAGTTTAGTACGTAAAGGAATACTTTCTATTTAAAAAGACCCTGTGATGAATCTTTTTGGAGTACATGGTTCTTAATTTGTAAGCTTTATAACTTTGTTCTCAAGATCATGTGTATGTACCTTGATGTAAACAGGCATAGTATGCTTTCTGTATCTTTCTACAGCACTGTTGGAAATAATTATGAAAAATGGAAGCACAGCTGGAAATACCCCTCATTGCCGAAAACCATCAGGTAGTGGTGATCAAAGCAAGCCTAATTGCACAAAGGACAGCACGTCTGGTAGTGGTGACAGTGGAAAAGGCTACACCAAAGACCAAGTAGATGGAGTTCTCAGGTAGGAATAAATGATTTATATCTCAAGTACAGCTGATACTAATGTAACTTTAAAATGTTGGTGACACCTAAAGAAGTGTTTGAATTATAAGTCAATAGAAAAACATGTCAAAGAATTGAATTCTTATGGGAAGTTTGTTATGCTTTATATTCTGTTTAAAATCAATCTGTAAAGTACCAGCTCTATGGAAGGTTCCGTCTTTTAAAGAAATTATAAGCCACAAAGTTACTTCTAGATCATTATTTTTTAGGAAATATTTCAATTTATTGACACATTTATTTAGATAACAGTATTGAAAAAGGATAAAGAATTGTTTTGTCTTATATATACATGAAAGCAGGAGAATTTCATATGAGAGAAAAATTGAGGGCAATAGCAACATCATTTTCAATTTCCTACTTATATTAATGAAGGATAGCTTTTTTTTCTCTATTTGTATTCTTTACTAAGGCTGTCTTTATATACAGAGGGTGCCAAAAAAATGCATACACATTTTAAGAAAGGAAAAAAACTATTAAAATTATAATACTCAATATATACCAATAACAAAAGATGAATACAAGTCACGTATGACTTCTGCAATTACAAGAGGTGCTCAAAGTGGTTACCATCAGTGTCCAGACACTTCTCATTACAGCGAACTACTGCTTGAGCAACGCTGATGAAAGTGTCCATTTGTACACATTTTTGGGGCACCCCCGGTATATATGCAAATACTATAACATCCTCTCCTTTTAATTTGTTTTCACTCTGGCTATTCTGTCTCAGTGCTTTAGTTTTGCTTCATGATACACTTCTACTTAAAGCAGAAGAATTAGGTACAGTTGAAAAATTATGAGCTGGGTTTTAGGAATTTGACGTTACTAATTTTAAAATTAAGAAAAAAGTTTCTGGAAGTAAAGTGAACCTTGAGTATGAAACTAGAGAAAATACCGTTTTGTTTACCACTACAGCTTAGGGATGCTGTATCGATGTACTGATGTAGCTCTCTAGGGAAATGAGTGTGAGGGTGAAGGACTCAGAACAGTGATTAATTGGATAAGTCACACAGAGTGCATTTTAATACAGTGGACCAGCTCAGATGAAGAGTAGGTAAAACTGGTTAGATTGTCTTTCTCTTTTGCTTTCTTATCTGTTTCTTTTACGCCTTATTTTCTCACCCTGTTTTCCTCCATTCTTGCTTTTTTAGTTCATTCTTCTTTACTCACTATAATTTGAAATTAAAGACATTTTATATTAAATATTATGGTAGTTATTTTTGCTTCTTACCTTATATATTTAGATGCTAAAGCTTGATTGTGAAAGACTCCTTAATCATGCTAAAGCCATGGTAGAGGGTATTTGATTAGAATGAATGGGAGTGAAGCACTCTGAGAACATAAATAATGTTGCTAACCACTTTATAAGTGTAGTATTGGGACAGAGGTGGCTGAATAAGTGAAATAAGTGAATACATGAGAGACTTGCTTTTGAATTTCTTTAAGAAAATCTTTAATTAAACAGTGTGCTGAAACTCGTTCCAGGAAACCATATCTGTCTGAAAACAAATTATATGTTCTTATAGAAATTGCTTTTTATTGGTAGTACATGTTCTCAATGAAAGACCTAAATAAAGTTAAGTGTGTGTGTGTGTGTGTGNGTCCCATTACCCCTAAATAATTCAGTGTATATTTTTTAAGACAATGGCATAACCACAATATAACCATCAAATTAATAAAATCAATGCATGTACCTCATCTAAATTCTGCCATTTTTTCCAGTTATGTCTGATAGCAAAAAGGATACATGATGCATTTATGGGCATGCTTTGTTCTCCAGATACCATCTTTTCTTTTTTACTTTGGCATTTTTTATGAGTACAGATCAGTTATCTTATAGAATTTCCCTTAATTTGTGTTTGACATTTCCATCTACAAATTTTTGGCAGAAATACCATGGAAGTGATTTTTCTTAGTGTAACATATCAAGAGACACATTATGTTGATTTGGTCCTCACTGTTGAGGTTAACTTTGATCACTAAGTTAAGTTGGTGATTGCCACTTAAAACTTACATTTTTTCCCCTTTGTAATTAATAAATATTTTGTGGGAAAATATTTTAAGATTTTATAAATGTCCTGTTTTATAAAATACTTTCACCTTTTAGCATTCATTGATGATTTTTCCCTGGATAAATTTCTGATGGTTGCCAAATTCTAATTCTTTCATTCTTTTTACAGTTTATTAGTTGGCATTCAACTTATTCACTGTATTAGTGTGGATTCATGGATTCTTATTTAATGTTACTATCATTATTTATTTTGATGCTCACATTGCCTCAGATTTAGTCAGTAGAAGCCCTGTGTCTTTTTGATGCCCTCATCCTATGAGTGTCCTAACTTTATGGTACAAAAAGATTTTCAGGCCCACTTTTTACTTGTTGTCCTTGGAATCAGCTATTTCTCCAAGGTGCCCTGATTCTTTATAGTGGACAGTGGTACTTGGAAACAGATATACACACTAGATAAGCTTATTGCGACGGGTGTCACTGCCTCTAGAGCTCGTCAATAGATAGGACATGTATGAATGCATGTATGTATATGTTTGTGTATGTATATGTCTGCGTTACATGTGTTTGCATGTGGGAATACACACATCTGTAGTAATTTAACATGTATTAATCTATATTCATTTTAGTATCTGTGCAAGACTCACACGCCTCCTGTTTTAGTTCACCACAGAGTTCATTCTAGCCTTCTCCATTTCCAGATTTGTAATTGTATTCTCTGACAGTATTCTTAGGTGAGACAGTGAGAAACGTGGCTTCTATTATCTTCAGTTGATTTATGCTTTTTTCTCTGTATGAAGAGAGTTGCCTCCTTGTCCCCAGTGGTGCAGGTCCTGTCAAGCTCAGCCTTGTTTTTGGCTATGACTGCCTCCTTCATCTCAATAAGCTGCCTTGGTCCAGGCCTCAGCTGCCAAAAGGAAGAGAAGGGAACAGAGGAGACCAATTTTTTTTTTTCAAGTAAAAAGAAAAAGAAAGGAAGCAGCCTATAATTTTTTAAATATTTGAACTTAGCTACAGTGTCAGATTATCATTACACACTATATGTTCTCTCATTTAATCATTTAGTCTTATCTCTATATTGATCACCATACACTTAATTCTCCCTGTTAGTCCTATGTATCTCTAATTATTTTGGATTTCTGAAGCTTGTTCCCTAGATTTCTAGGAAGGGCTTGTGGGACCTGTGCTCCCTAAGTTCTAGAATGTTGAAAACAGTTCATCTGTGGTCTTAATGCTTGAAGTTAGTTTGGTGGATATAAAATCCTGAGCTCCAGTTTTCTTTCTTTGAATATCTAAGTATGTTATTCTGTTGTTTTGTGCAAGTACTACTGAGGAGCAAAGTCTGATGACAGTCTAGTTTTGTTTATAAGTCATCTGATCTTTTTGCCTAGAAGTCCTGTTAATTTTACTAGAATATATCTTGGTGTTCATTATTCTGGGTCAGTATTCTTAGGTATGTGATTTGTTCTTTCATTATATGGCTTCAGATGTTTCTTTTTTTTATATCAGAAAAATTTTCTCCAATTACTATATATCTGTTTTATTTTTCTTCGTCAGGACTCCTATTATATTTATGTTGGATCTTCTTTAACTACCTTTAATAGTTGCCATTTTCTTTCTAATTTTTTGACTTTTTTATTTAAAAAACTTATTCCGCCTTTTTATATTCTCTTTCATTTATTTACACAAACAACATTATCTGTTGTGTTTATTAACTCCTTCTAGTTTAGTCTTTTTAGAATTGATTTCTTGTTTCTGATAGCTAGCTAGCTAGCTAGCTAGCTAGATACTTTTTGGGATTGTCCTAATTCTAATTTTTATGTTATTTTGTATTATGTATAATTTCTTAAAGTCTTTTCAGCTTGGTTTGAAGTACTAGGTTATAATGTTTACCTGTTTTGTCAAGTCTTTGTGATGTGCTTTCATTGTCTTCAGAGAATTATTTTAGTCCTATTCCTTTTTTCTCATAATAACTTTGTATCAGATTTCCCTTCTATCATTTTCTGTTACACATTTTTTATACAAAGTTAGCCTTTCTAAATACACAGAGCTCTTTCTTCAGTTTTTAGGTAATGGCTGAAAATATGTCACTATAGAAAAACTGATGGTTGCTAGATGGGACAGGGTGGGGATGAGGGAGGGGGGGAAGGGATTACACAGCATAAATTGGTAACTACAATATTGCCACAGGGATAGGAAAGACAGTTCAGGGAATATAATTAATAATGTTGTAAATATTTTGTAGGGTGTCAGATGGTCACATGTCTTTTTAGGGAGACCACTTCATGGTGTAGAGGCTTGATCACTGCACTGTACATCTGAAGCTGATGTTGTATAATATTATATGTCAACTGTAATTGAATATGTATATATAGTCATGGGGCATGGAGTATGGTGTGGGAGTGGAGTCAAGGGAATTGTAATAGATATGTATGATATTGGGGGGAGTGGGGCAGCGGATTGTGGGAGGGGGGTTGTCACTTTGAGGGGTAAAAAGTATAACTATTGCACTGTGTTGTACACCTGAAACTAATTAGAAAAATTAATTAATTAATTAATTAAAAAATTACTAAGCTGGACAGCCAAGCATAAGGGGGGAAAAAATAAAAAAATAATATGTCACTATATAAGATCTCCTCACTCCTTTCTTCTTCCCCACTTTATCTGGAGTCTCTCTCTTTTTTCTATTGCCTCTGCCCTCTTCAGTTTGGTTCCTATTCCCAGTAGTTTCTCCTCATTGTGATTTTGTTCTGGAAGAGAGCTTTTTGACTGATTTTGAAAGTTAGGGAGTAGAACCTTCTATGCCCTTAAGAGTTTATTATGACCCTTTCACTCATGTACTATTGTAGTGAGCAAAACCCATTCATTTTTATGCACTTTTCTCAGTTTTGCCTGTTGTGCTACATAGAGAGTCCCTATTGATAATTTTGGAGTTCTTTTGTTCTGTCGACTGG